TCGGAATCATGAATAGTTGTAATCTCGTTTTTGAGATTAGCTTTGTAAGATAGCATAACTTACATATATTCTACTTAAAGAATGATAATAAGCTCATTCATTGTTTATGTCAAATATAACAACAGTAAAAGAATTGATTATGTGCACAGTAGGAAGGTTTTCTAAAAATATATATTTCAAAGTACTGTTGGACAGCTTTAGTATGTAGAAACACTGCGATAAATATTATATAATTCTATAAATCTATAGTGTCAAAAGAATCTTAGTATATAACCAAAAAGAAATTTAATAAAAAAGTATTTACATAGTAAAACATTAATGGGAGCAATTAAATATTGACAAAAATTGCATTAGAAAACATATTTTTATTATATCTATATTAGTTGTACCGACAATAATTTGATATTATGTTATTAGAATAACCTTCTATATTGTCATCTGTTTTATACTTCACAGCCAAAAAGTATCACTAGGCAAATATTTGCAGCGTTTGATTTGTAATGATGTTTCATGTCTCCTTTTTTACTATTACATTTCCTGTTAGGATATGAGTTAATTCAATAGTTAGTATTATTATAATTATTAGTATAGTTGTTGGTGGTGAGATAAGATGAAAATATTTAAAATGTGGTACGATCTAATTCTTTTAATCAACCACCAATATTACTACTATTACCATGTAGTATTTGTTGAATAATTATACTTACTGTTTATCAATCATTTTATTATTCTATATTCGTACAAAATATTCTTATATATATATATGCTATATTTGATAATATTATCATACAGAAAAAAAGTTGACCAAATTTTATACCTATTCGTATATATATATATACGTATGAGCGAATATGTATATGTACGCATACTGACATTTTATCTTATCTTCATTTATTTTAAATAAGAAAAATATATTGCTTGTTTTTATGAATTGGTGCACATTATAATATTCTAATTTTTTGCTTCTTTGTTATTATTGAGTAGAGATTATTTAGCTGTTTGTGTTCATGTTGTCTTTATATTTTTTATGTTACTTAATCAAGATCGATCTTATTGATAGAAAAATGAATTGTATATATAGGCATATGTATACGTATTGCGTTGCAAGTAAAAAATGAATTATTCTTGATTAAGTAAATATTGAATTATTGTGAGATATTTTATGTGAAAATATGTATTACCTTGTGACAAAAACAAGGTTGAAAAGAGATAGTTTTTAACATAATTAAAACATATTTTAAAAAAGAGGGAAAAGTTGTATAGTAGAAATAACAAAAGGATGTGCATTTGTTAATGATTATCAAAGAAAAGAATAATATTGATTAAATTTTTACGATAATATTTCAACGATAAAATACATAAAATTTTATATATTTTTCTTCATTATTATTATTACTATTACTATTATTATTATTATTATTATTATTATTATTACTATTATTATTACTATTATTATTATTATTATTATTATCATCATCATCATGATCATCATCATCATCATCATCATCATCATATTATTACATTATTATTATATATTATTTTTGTTTAAATTAAAGATATAAAATTTAATAAAAGAGATAAATCATTTTTAAACATACTTAACGCCAAGTTCGCTTTAGAAACACATGTGCCATCATTTTCATATTTACCATATATAAAATAACAAACAGGATTAAGAATTTTTATAAATTCTATATTTTTACCAAGCTCGAAAAATACGAATGCAACACATCTTTAAATTGTGGTGCTTTAGTACGTCCTATATCCATAGATTTTACAAGATTCAGAATAAAAATTTATACATCTAAATTAAGCTAAATTAAATTTATATAAAAAGATAAGATGATTTGTAAAAATTCATGCGTTTGAAACTACTGTAGTATTCTGAAATAGAAGATAAGAGAAGAATTGAAGCATGAAATACAATTCAGAACTTAGCAACTTTACAACGGAAAATATTTTACAAACGTGTTCATATGATATTTTAACGATGCCTCCAAACAATAGTTCTTATATGTGTATATTAAAAATGGTATCAAATTGCAATAGCTCTGTCTTATGTCAAAGATACTATAACTGATAGTTATAAAAGTAAACAATGCCTATATAACTTACATTTATGATTGATAAATATAATAATAATTTAATAAGGATTTTTAATTATTTTTTTCATTTTTATCAAGATATATGCAATATATCTTGTTAAAATTTTAACAAATTTTACTTGTGTTACAATCAATGACAAAACTTATGTGTATTTTTTATTTTGTGTTTTTATCATTCAGACTTTTATAAATAATATTTAAATGTAATGAATAGATTTGTTATCTTTACTAATAGTTATTGATTGTTTTCTGTTTTTTAATATTTATTAATATTGATTTTACTTTCGTTTTAATACAAGACTTTATTATTAATTATTACAGATTTTGAAACTCAAAGACTTTTTTAAATTTTAGAAATATATATATAAGCACGTACAATAAATATCAATATAAAATTATACATTATTGCTATTCATGATATAGGAAAACTGTAAAATAATAGATTAATATACATTTTTTTTATTAGCCTTTGCAGTTGAATTTAAACATAAATCTTTTACATGATACATATATTATTCTTATATTTTGAAATACTTCAATCTTGAAATTTAGTTATAACCAACGATCTAATTGTCATTATTTATTTTTTTAAATAAATTATGTTTAAACCAAAGATATTTCAACAATAAAATTACATCATGGTATGTTACAAGTATATATATACGAAATGTAAAAGTAATTATTCTTAATGAGTACATCGCAATGCATAATGCAAGTAGAATCACATATAAATATCTCAAACCATATGTTCAAACACAATTTCATTCAGGTATAAAATTGTCTGCTGTTGAAGTTATGATATTTCAATGAATACAAAAATAAATGTCATGCAAATTATAAATTAATATCTGTAATTATCGTCGATACAGAAAAATATATGAAACCTATATTGATTTCAATGATATTGATATCAATGAAGTACATTTTTATATAAAGTTGTACGACGATAATACATTATTAGATCGTTCGAAAAAAATTTGTGCATCTAATGTCCTAAATGTAAATTGCTACAATATGGATAAACAAGCTATAAAATCAGATAATTAATAGAGTTTGTATACCATATTGTAAAGCATATACTTACAGAACTTGAATGGATGTGTTTACAAACTTTTTGTTATTATATTATAAATACATTACATTATATATGATCATTTTCAATAAATATATTCTGTGAATTAGAAAAAAATGTATTGAATTAAAGTTGACATAGAAGAAAATTGTAAATATATAAATGTAGCTTTAGAAAAAATTTTATTTATTACAACAAATTAATTCCTACAGATACAAATTATTTATAATATAACATTTATTTTAATTTGTTAAACTAGATGTAGTAGATGATTTATTTTCTTCAGGTTTGTCTTTGTAAAAATTACCATCACAATCAATTGCAATATTATGATCTATAATATTTTCTAATGCATTCAGAATAGCTTCATCTATATTTTTAGGTGTAATAAATGTTGTAGCTTCTTCTTTTATCTTTTTGATATTTGCATCTATAATTTCCTGCATTTTCAAATCTCTTTCCTTTTTTTCTTTTAATATTTTATGAATTTTTTCTATACGATGTGTTCTTTCTTGACTCAATCTTTGTTGTCTTATTATAGCTATTTTTTCATTCCATTGATTATTTACATAAGAACATACTTCAAAATCTTTCTCTATATTTGTTTTCACAATATTAAAATCCAAGTTCTTTTTTCTTTCTTCTTCTTTTTCAACAAAAAAAGACCTAAGACAAAATTACAATGTATCATTTTATATAATTTTATATAATATTATATAATATATAATGCTATAATAAATCTGTTATTATAATAAATAATAATGGAAATTTCATATACATTAAAGATTTCATTATTGTTCTATAATTATTGAACAAACGTTTAAGTTCACACTGATCTTCTATAGGTATGACTGGTCTTTGTGGTATTTTAAATATCTTAGATTTTGCTGTTGGTAACCAAATTGGTTTTCTTTTCCATCGTACACATTGAATATAAGGTCCATTGGATATTAAATGATCATAAATATTTAAATTTCGTACTGTTAATGTATTAATATTAAATATCATTGGCGGTCGTATCATTATTTAAAATTAATTTTCCGTATTATATATAATTCTTTCAAGAATACTTAAGATTATATTATATTATAACACATATACTTTAACTTTTAGCTTCAGAATTATTTTATTTAAAAACTCAATATTTTTAAAATATTGATAAATATTTAATATTTAAAATATAACAATTTCGTGATTGGAGTCATTACTAATAAGTTAGGTTAGGAACATGTTATTGTAAAGAAATTTATCTTTAGATTTTATACTATCGCTAGAACTATCTAGATACCGCTTTTATACTCAAGTGATACCCAGAAAGCTTTATTTATATTTAATTCAATAACGATATGTTTTTGGTATTCAATTTAATTTCGGAAGGAATAATTGAATTTATTTTAATTTATTGAGGATAATTATATATAATATATAATAATTTGAATTCATTACATTTAAATTTCAATAATTTTATTGTATAATAAATACAATATAAATTTAACATATTATAATAATCTAAAATAAAAATAATATTTCAATTTTATATTTGGATATAGATTATATAATTTCATATAATTCGTTAGAATTTAAAAGAATTAATTTTCTCAAAGAAAAAAAGATTTTATTATATTTTATTATTAGAATTTTTAGAGAATATGAAGAGAATGATTTATGAAATTTTGTATTTAGAGTTAATATTAGTATTTTCTTTTTTACACACAAAAAATAAATGAAGCGGTGAAATAATTAGTCTCAGTTTTCGAGGACGTCATTAAATACAGTGCACCACTTACCTACATAGCGCTATTGCTTTTTTTTAAAAGCAGTAGTGCCTGAGATCTTGGTCTAGCAAGTACTATCTTTATTTCACATTATAAATTCATCATTTACATTTTTTATTTTTTTTTCGATAAATTTTAAATAATATATCGATTGTTAAAATCATAAAAATGATAAAGAAAGCATTATCGAGGAGGCGCGAAATAAGTCTTGTTTCAAACATTAAATAAAAAGTAAAAAGAAAAAAAGAAACGTTTAATCTTAAATTATATAATTATTAATTTATTGATATAGTGAAATATAAAAAAAGAAAATGTATAGTGTTCATATGACACCAGGTAGATCTTCTGATAAACAAAGTACTTCGAAAAGTATGGATTCTGAAGTAGGAGTATATAAAAATCGAAGAAAAGAATCGATTCCAGTTAAAGTTTTCAATTATTTGAAAACACAAATGCAGGCAGAAGGAATTCCAAGTAAGTAAAATTTTCATTGAATTTTTATTATAAATAATTTGTTGAAATAAATAACTGATAGTTATCTTTGCATAAAAAAAATTTGTTATTATTTGATAAAAATTGAATTAAAAATCAAAAAATCGAAAATATGATAAATCATTTATATTTTTTTCTTTCGATTATATGTTATGGACAGAAGGCTTTAAATAAATATTTTATTAGAAATATACATTTGTGATGCTTGCTGTTTATTTCTTATTAAAATATATAACGATATATAAATATTGATTGAAGATAAAGAAAATAAACGAAAATAATTTTTTGATTTTATTTTTAATCAAAAATATTTAATTCGAATAATCTATTAAAATTAATTTCATTTTTTCATTTCTAATATCGTTTGTTTCTTTATCCTCGTTTTATAAAAAAAAATTGCATGTTTTTTCCGCATATAGTATATAGTATATATATATATAGTAGGTATATTTTGTTAATTTTTTTTGCCAAATTTATATTTTTACAAATACCAACTTAAAAAAAATCATTTTACTTTTTTTATTTTTTATAATACTAACATATTTTTTCTGTAATTAACATTGCACTTTTATTAACATTGAAAAAATAGTTTTACATGATCGCTATAACATAATAAATCGCTTTCTTGAAATTTTTAGATTAAACAAGATAATCTTCAATTGATCATGTTTGACTTTGATTTATAATCTTAAATATATAAATAATTTGTGTAATTATTTTTCTTCATAAATTACATAATATCATTGTTTTTATATTCTTTCTTTTTTAATAATGATAAATACAATTTTATGTACTATTAATAGTACACATTTTTTTTTAATTTTTAGAAAGATCATTTACTTGACTAACCAATGGTTCAGTATTAATCACTGAAAATAAACAATCTGTAACTTCAACATTTAAATCTTCGCATATATTTACATCTTTTTCGGCTGGCGTTTCGTAATTCGTATAATTACGAGTCCAAACTTCAGTAATTGAATCTTCACTTTCCGCAACTGATTCTCTTAAATCAGATTCGTTATTTGATAATGGTGAATGTAATGGCCGTGATTCTTCTATCATAGCTTCCCTAATGTTCGTTTGTAAATTAGCCATTCGCATTCCGCATGAAGTATCATTATAAAGTAACCAATATGGAGAAAATGAATGTTGTCTATATTCTGCAACAAATTTTTCTTTTTGAGAGCAACTTATACTTGATGAAACTGGTGTATGAGTAACAATAGGAGCTATGTAACAATATACACAAGATGTTTGATCTAATTTCGATAAATCTATACGTTTGTTACTAATGAAATTCAAAATATTTTCTAAAATAGAATCTGGAGGCATTTTGGATATTCTTTTTGGCCAAAATGGATCTAGGATTCCTGAAGATATTAAAAACATAATATTATTTTTCTTTATATTCTTAAATAAATAATTTTAAAGCAACAATAGAACAACTACATACCATTTGTTTGTATCTTATCTGTTATAACAGGTATATGATTATTAGATTCTGTTTGTATTATAGAATTACAATTTTGTTCTGATTGTCCTAAATTTTCAGATAATGGAATGGTTGACTGATTATTATGTGAACAAGAATATTCATATGGGAGATTAGTATTGTAATGATTATTATTAGAAAATGTCTGAGATGTAGTAGATGTATATGTTTCTTGATCTATATTTGCATTTGAAAAGGAATGTGTATATTGCAAATACTCTCCAGTAGTTTCTGTGCTACACTTAATTAAATTTTGTAAATAATAGGAATTATTACAATTAGATTGGTCATTAGAAATAATATTTGTTTCACAATACTGATTTTCTTCCGATGGATTCAAATTCAATAAATTTTGATTTGAATTATATGGATGCACAGTCTCTGTCATTCGATATTGACATGTTAAATTTTCATCATTTATAGGCTTATTTAAACTATCAGAGATTATATTATCACAATACATAGTCTGAAATACTTTTGTTGGTTGAACATCTGATGTTGCATAACTGTTACCTGTTGCATCCATAACATTAGTAATAGTCCAATTTTCATAGACTTGATGCATATCAATATTTGTATTAGGATATTTATACTGATTAATATTTTCATTTGTTAAGACATTTGAAATTTGTTGACCAATTTCTTCAACACTTTTCACAAAAGTTGGTTCATTCAAAAAATATTCTCCCTTTATACCATTTAGAAATCCATAGCACTCTGTATTGTTTTCTAAATTTTCTTCATTATCTTGATTATCTGATTCAGCAGTTAAAGTATCAGAATTATCTAACAAGGTATTGGATTGATATTGTTCCATTGTCCAAAATCTTCCAAGTACAGGACTAGCTATCTCACCCAAATTTGCACCAACTGGAGCTTGTAACATTTTTTTTAGAAGTATAGATCCCTGAATATTGCTATTTGTATCTTCTAATGTTTGATATTCTACATTATCATTTGGTTGATATATAGATGTATCTACATTATTAACAGCAACTATATTAGACTTAGTATAATTACTAATATCTAAAGGAACTTTTTGCATATCAGATGAAACTGTTGCTGTTCTTAAATCTACTACAGTTGAATCTTGTATTTGATTATTATTTGCATCATATGTTTGAAATTCTCTTTGGATTCTCTTTAATAAAAATTGTTTAAACTCTTCATAATGAGGAATTTTGTTATCTTCATCTCTACTTGCAATTTCTTCTTCTGCACCCACCTGTAAAAATAATTATTTTACTTAAAATAATATTTTATTTTTTTATTAAAATTTTGTTTAAAAACATTACATATAAATGTAATAAAATTTTCATTGTTATAGAAATATTGTAAATATAAAATTTTTGATAAGATTGATAATTGATGATCGATCTATAAAATTAATCATATTCGATATAATTTTCTGTCTCAAGCATCATCGATCAATTTTTGAGACGAATGTGAGATTTTATAAAATAATTTGAATTTTTTCAAGTTTAAATGTACATTACAACATCGAAACTAAATGAAAATCAACTCACCCATTGATAAGGTGGTTGCTGTTGCGGGCAGTAATAATCATCAGCCATACCGTAATCAGGACTATGTAATGGTGTGGAGGTTAACCCGAGTTTTCTGATTTTGACTTTTCTCACTTTCCTCTTACGATTCTGCTTAAGATCTTGCAGTAGCCTGCCAACTTCATTTTCATTTCCGCCTTTTGCGGCTTGCAACACTTTAACCAGTAATTTCTTCTACGGCCAGAAATCATAATCGATCGTTCAAAAATCAATTTACTTGTCGTTTTAGGAAAAAAATTAAGAAGGAAATTTTTTTAGTTATATTTCTTACAATAAATCAGTTACCTTTATGTTACCTGGTACTCGATATCGAAGAGCTAAAGCTTGTAATTCTTTGTATGATAAATTTGAAATATCGTTGCTATTCATTTTTCAATATCAAGCCATCCAGTCGTAATATATCCTTCCCTCAATTCTCACACATTCCTGATATGGCCGATAGAAAAATTCGTCTGCTAACCGAATTACGCGGTTTCTTTTAATTTAAAAATTGATTTAACCGAAAATAAGTTTCACATGAAATGTTGAAAAAATGTTGAAAGATATCATTCTTTTCATTGTTAAATTTAATTTGTTTTGAAAGTAGCTATCCTTATTATATTATTAGTCAAAGTTTTTCAAAGTAGTTTATATTTTAGTTATATTTCCGTTTAATATTAAATAATTTTCTTAGAATATACTTAAAAGTTATAATAGACTCATCATAAAAGCATCTTTAAAAGAAGAAAATTAAAGATTTTAGTTCTTTAAATAACGTTTTCTTTATATACTTTTATACATATAATATTCTTTTATCAATGATTACTATTATTGACATCAAGTGCTATTATCCTGCCATCTGGAAATTATAATTTTACAATTTGATCTTATCGATCGATAATATTGCCACTTTCATAATTCTTGCGAATAATTTTATATTTGAGATGTTTCACTAAAATAATTTATAGTACATTTTAATGTATATATTCATTGATAACGTTTAATATACATTTTTGTTGTATTTATCGATGATCAATACATTTTAAGTAAATAATCTACACCTGCAATTATGTTTTTGGCTTGATTTCAATTTTTTAGAAAAAATTTTTATCTGTCTCATATTTATAATGCAATAAAATTCATAATGTATTAAATTTTTCGTTTTTTATTTTAAAATGACACGATATTATGATATGATAGACAAATTGTATGTGACGTCCGCACTTAGTAGAATAGTCGTAAATAGCCAGCCGCATCTCGTAGCTGTTGTTCTTTAGAAAGTAGTAAGTATCCAGATTAAGTGTACATATACTCCGGACTAAGTATATATGTACCTATGAGTAATTTTATCGCTAATTGACTAATTCCTGAGCAATAAAATAAGATATTTTCTACCTATTGCTTACGTATAAATGTTCTGAACAAAATTAAATTTTATAATTGGAAAAACAGCTTCATTTTTACATCATCTCACTATTTTCTTATTTTGCCTATCTTAACGATAAATTGCCAAATAGTTTTATTTAACTTTCAGAAAAGAATAATCGCTTTATAGAATCCTCTTATAGGATACATTAATGTAAATTATTTTTTTTTTTCAACGCATCTTATTGAAATAAATTATTCATTTAGCAAATTGGTTAAACTCGATAATTGATGAGACTGAATTGTTTTGAAACGTATAAAAATAACATATGACAATTGAAACGATGTACGGATTGTATGCATTATTCTAGTGTGTAAGCGAAACCAATTGATTCACCAATATGCAAATATAACGACTGGGTGGAAAAGAAGCCAGATGAGAGCGGAGATTGGGAAAAAAATAAGCAAGGATAACGAGCTGAATGATGATTGTTTATTGAAATAATATCCCATTAGCTACCGGTGGCCAATATTTGGCATATGTATATAATGGGAAAAGAACGTAGACTTGCGCGGGAGCAAGTATACCCCGTGCTTTTGCGTGGCAGCTGTTTCAGTGCATCAACGCGAAAGCTGCGCACATCGTTACCGAGTCCGTGGTTTATACGTTAGTCGGTCGTGAAGCATCGATCGGAGAAACAAGAGGTGCACGCGTTGATCGGTTTGGAACGAGAAGTTGCGAGGAACGTGAGCAAGCAACGTGAGAAATTGAGTGAGAAGAAGGAAGAGGAAAAGGAAAAAGAAGAAGAAGGAGAAAAGAAGAGAGAAGAGGGGAAGAAAAAGGAAGAAAGATCCGGCCAGTGTGAAGAATTTCGATAAATTGGAAGCGGGAAATTGGAAGAGATCGTTCGATCGATCGTTTCGACGGGAACGAAATCGACAGTCGGATCGCTGAGCGCGATCGTTTACTTGTGAACCGGCAACGAATCGGTGCTTGCGGTCAATGAAGTCACGTAAGAGCCGCGAGAAAAGTAAGTTCATCAATCATAAAGGCCGACTGTAGTGCCGCTCGAGTTTCCTCTCCGATAATCGGTGCAGGCCAAGTCGATACGTCGTGCCGTGGAAAGAGATCCTCCTTGAGACGAAGGGATTGACACAGCCCAGGCCCGAACCATCTCCCCCTTTATCGCGAAATCGTTCGTTGCGGTGTGTCAGTGCTAACAGCTGCCAAGATGCAACGGCAAGGTGCGAGACTCGTTCGACAGAGAAAGAAAGAATATACAATACAAATTCTCCTCTTTGTTTCGCCCTATTGACGATTCTTCCTTTGAGAGATAGCACTTTGGAATACATTGTAATTAATAGTTAGTCCGCTCTAGAGAACCGACCGATGTGACCACGTTTTATGCCTCTCTAGACGTTGTTCTTTTTTTCTTCTCTTTCTCTCTCTCTCT